GTGGAAAACAGTGAAAATTCCGTTGAAACGGCACTGAAAATTCTAGACCGCAGATACGATTGTTCTGTGGTTAGAAATGCGGAACTGACGGCCAAGGTAAACTCCTTGAAGCCTCTGAAATTAAATAATTTGAAAGATTGGGACAATTACAGTTCCTTAATTGGATCTGTAATAAGGCAATATTCGCTCTCCAACCCCAACGAGGGATTTGGAATGATGATCGATTTATTGGTCTCAAAAATGCCCGACTCAAGTCGATTGGCATGGGTCGACAAGATCATGGATCTTGACCCTGGCATGATGAGTAAAGAAAAAATCCAAATGTTGCATAATTTTGCGACTAGAATCGCAGACAGACTGCGGATGTCTGGAATCAAACCTCGAGACGAAACTCCAGCTGGAAAGTCCGAGGTAAAAATTGAATCGAAAAAGAAGTATTCCAAGGAAGCTAAGTTCTCTGTGGAGGAAACTCCTAAAACACCCAACAAAGTATCAGAAGGGCCAGAATGCCCCATGTGCCAACAGAAGCACTATTTGAGTAAATGTGGAGTATTTTCGAAACTGGAAGTAGATGATCGAGCTGTTAAGGCTAAAGACTTCTTTGTCTGTTTCGGATGTTTGGGAAGACACAGGAAAGGGAACTGCAAAAGGAGGCAGCAATGCACCTTTGAAGGTTGTACTTTCTTTCATCATCCCTTACTACATGGAACAAAGTTGTGGTCTAAGGTCGAAGCCAGCAAGACATCCGAAGCACCAGTTTTGTCTATGATAGAGGTGCCATACATGGCAACTCTTGAGGCAATTTCTCCATTCGAAACTCGACAGACACTTCGATTGATTGCCCTGGATGTCAAAGGCCCAAAGGGGATCAAGAGAGTGAATGCTCTTCTGGATACTGGGTGCGGAAGAACTACTATCGAAGATAAACTAGCCAATGAATTGGGAATACAAGCTCTCTGTCACCCTTTTTACGTAAACGTTTGGCGAAACCCTCACCTTCTTGCGGACTACTTTTTACTAAACTTCTCTTTTAGAGGAGCAGGCGAAAATTACTGGTTCAGAGCCGAAAATGCGGCTTCTGTAAAGGATCTTGTCACCCCTGAAGTGACTTTTGATTGGAAAGGGTGGGTAACCAAGAACCCCGAGTTTGCCGACGTCAAATTGGCGGAAAGCATAACCGGAAAAGCTCAATTAATTGTGGGCGGGGACCAAGAAATTCTGATGATGGCTATGCCTGACTCAGTCAGGTCAAATGGTCAAGTCCTCGCCTACAAAACCCCATTGGGGTGGACAGTGGCCGGTTGTATTAATAATTCAACTGGTCACGTGAACGTTGTGACCCACTACTCTGTTGATGAGATCAAACATCAAGACAGAGAACTGTTGGAAGAATTTAAAAAATTCAACTCCCTAGAGGAGATTGGAATCAAAGTACGACCAGACGGGCTAAAACATGATCAAGCCCGAGATCTGGATGAAATGCGAAAGAATTTGGAAGTAGTGGATGGGCGTTTCAGAGCTCCAATGCTCTGGAAACCTAACCCAAACTTCCCGGCGTCGGTTGGCCAAGCCGAAAGGCGGGCTACGACTATGGCAAATCGCCTAAAGAGAGATCCTAAGCTGCTAGAAATAGTTCGCATCCCAAAACTTCTACTACAGTCTTTTTTCATGTAGAGAGGTTATTGTAACTTTCTGTCCCTAGTCAACTACCGCTCACGTAGAGTAACCCAAGAGGGTACCTACTTTGTCACGCATCCTGATAAACCTGATCGGCCAAGAAGAGTCTTGGACGCCGCCGCAATCAATGGAGGTGTTTCCTTGAACTCAACTCTGAGAAAAGGCCCACAAGTGCAGCCTACAGTCACCGGGGTATTAATGCGATTCCGGCTGAAAAAGATCGTGATCAATGCGGATGTGACAGAAATGTTCCCGCAGATCCTGGTGAAACCAGAAGATCAGAGTAAGCTGATGTTTGTGTTCAAAGATCCCCAAAAGGGTGACGAGTGGTATGTCAGCAATAGGCATATCTTTGGCGCAACTTGTTCACCAGCCATAGCGAATTTTTGTGTACGCATGGTTGGCGAATTGGAAGGGGGGGAGGATCCTATTTTGAAACGGATCACCACCAAATCAATTTATGTTGACGATCTTTATGCAGGGTTTGACTCGGCAAAAGATGCGAAATCTGCAGTCGATAAAATCGACGCAGCAATGGGGAAGTATGGCTTAATTTTAAACAAATGGAAGTCAAATCATCCAGATGCTTTGGCAAACATCCCTGCTGAAAGAAAAGAGAAAGATGCAGTGGAAGTTAAATCTGGAGAGAAAGAAAAGGTTTCCAAGGCTCTTGGATTACCCTGGGAGCCAAGGGATGACAAGTTCGGATTCTCCTGCAGAAAAAACATCACCGCAGAAGGCAAGTTGAAAGAGAAAGGCGACCTAACGGTTGCTGAGTATCTATCGATCTTGGCCTCTCTGTTCGATCCCATGGGCTTTCTCGGCCCGTTCACCTTTGCGGGAAAAAGAATCATGCAGAGGATCTGGACGGAATCAGAAAACTGGAAGGCTCTCGTAAGCCAAGAAATGATGGGGGTCAGTAAAGAGTGGATTGCAGGGATCCTCAAGGCAAAAGAATGGCAAGTTCCCCGCTGGTTCGGATTGAACGCCAACATGCCGATGGAACTGCATGTATTCTCTGACGCCTCGGAAAAGGGATATGGAACGGTTGCCTATCTAAGGCAAGGCCATCTGATGAGTTTTGTTTTTTCGAGATCCCGAGTGGCTCCTACAAAGCCAACTTCAATTCCAAGGCTGGAATTGCAAGGATGCCTCATTGGGAAAAGAATGGCCGAAACCATTCTGCTTGAGTATCTGGGGGAAATTACTTTCTCTCGAATTATACTCTGGACGGACTCTATGGTGGTTTTGGGGTGGCTGAACAATTTAGCCTCCAAGTATGTCACTTTTGTGGCGAACCGGGTGGGTGAAATACAGGAATTCCTGGAGGGATCCCTTGAGGATCAACCTCCAGCTGAGGTACGACATGTGCCGACCAAAAAGAACCCGGCAGATTTAATCAGCCAAGGAATGGGCACTGAAGAATTTGAAAAGAACCACGAGTTTTGGTTTTCAGGCCCTGAATTTTTAAAACTCAATGAAAAAGAATGGCCAACCAATCCCAAAGCTTTGGGTAAAGGTATGGAAGAGATGAAAAACAAGGAAATTGAAATGGTTTTCACAATTGTGGAAATGGAAGATCCCTATGGGGACAACAACTTGTTTTCTGAAATATTAACCGCCGATGAGAAAAAAGATGTGGAAAAGGTGCGGGAAAGGGAGCTGGAGCTGATGGAGCTGATCAAAGCAGCCCAGACCCATTATTTCAAAAACGAAATCAAGAAATTAAAATCCAATGAGAAGTGCATGCTGAAAGGCAGACCACTCTCTATGTGGATCATTTGGATGGATAAGGACGGAGTACTCAGAAGTGAGGGCCGCCTGGGAAATGTGGTAGGGTTAACTGCTGAACAGCAGCACCCAATGATCCTTCCAAAGTCAGCACCGATTACTCGGTTGCTGATACGGGACTGTCATTTCAAAAATGATCATGTGGGAGCCAAGACAACTCAGTCCATTCTGAGAGAAAGATTTCTTATTGGATGCATGGCAAGAACAGGTCGAAAATAATTATTTAAATGTAAAACTTGCCGAAATCAAAACCCCATAGCAGTACAAACTGCAATTGCGCCGCTACATGAGAACAGGGTGGCCGAGGGATCCCCTCCTTCCCATCATTGTGGAGTGGATCATTTTGGTCCGTATGTTGGAAAAGGAGGACAGAAGATGTGGGGATTATTGTTTATGTGCATGACAACCAGAGCAATTCATTTGGAAGTCTGTACGGGACTCAGCACTAAGAAATTTCTGCTTGCTCTTTCCAGATTTATTGATAGACGGGGAATGCCAAAAATAATCTGGAGCGACTGTGGAACCTCTTTCATCAGTGGTGCAAAAGAATGGGAAAAAATTGAGGAAACATGCGCCATTGGCAAGAACAGTTCGAAAAGAATTATTTAGATGTAAAACTTGCCGAAATCGAAACCCCATAGCAGTACAAACTGCAATTGCGCCGCTACATGAGAACAGGGTGGCCGAGGGATCCCCTCCTTTCCATCATTGTGGAGTGGATCATTTTGGTCCGTATGTCAGAAAAGGAGGACAGAAGATGTGGGGATTATTATTTATGTGCATGACAACCAGAGCAATTCATTTGGAAGTCTGTACGGGACTCAGCACTGAGAAATTTCTGCTTGCTCTTTCCAGATTTATTGATAGACGGGGAACGCCAAAAGTAATCTGGAGCGACTGTGGAACCTCTTTCATCAGTGGTGCAAAAGAATGGGAAAAAATTGAAGAAACATGCGCCACTGATATGAGGATTGAATTCCGGACGANGTCTCAATTTAGTAGTCGTCGTGGCAGATAGGCGTCCGGGTTAATTCCCGCAACTCATCTGTAGCACCTACATCTGGGGATCCTGTGCGGTGAGCCGCATATCCGTCTACTTCTTACCTGCGACTTCCTCCTGTTGTCAACTGGGAGGCCGACTCCTCAACAGCCGGTGTTCAGGGGTCCGCACAAAAGCGGAATCAACCCCCAACAAAATTTGAAAAGTTCCACTGTAAAAGTAATCCAAAACTGCGCAAAGATCCAAGAGTCGAACTCTTTCAACCATCCCTGACAGGTCTTGTGCAAAATTCTTATTGAAAAATCAATCAGTTCAGAACCTGGTGCCCCTAGAAGCAGACTCTGAGAAGACAGAAAAGAAATTCCTAACCAGCTTTGGAAGTTTTGTGAGCAAAAATCAAGAAAACAAGTAATTGAAGTTCAAAAAACTTTTATTAAACAAAAAATGTGCAAAACGCATGATTACAAAAAAACCCTTCAACCAAAAAAGACCCTTTACAAAAGGAAAACAATTCCGCCAAAAAAGGGGGTTTTTAAACATAACGAGACAGAGATGCCATATCCGCAAACTCCAAACCTCCCTCTCCCACAACCCAGGCCTTGTCCCCTACTTTTGATATTATAAATTTCCTCTGAGAGGAATTCCCAATTTGAACTGATGATCCCACGACAAAACGTCCAGACACAGCTCTCTTGGGGCCCAAGCACAAGGAATCCACAGAGAAGACTTCCAGGAACATCTTCTGACTTAAAATCTTGTCCATCCTGAAAGGGAGAAAGAAAATATTGTAAAAACCGGACTTGAAAGCACCATTTTTTTGAGAGACTCACTGTCTGAAAGGATCACCTTCTGATCCAATAACCGCCGGGTTGATGTGGAAAGGTCCGTTCCCAAAACATTCCTTTGGACCATGATCTGTAGAATGATGATGAGGAAGTGCAGGGGGATCCCTGGAGCAGTTTTTCCACTGTCCAACCAATATGGGCAGCTACCAGCACATGCAAATGCTCCCCAAGTCTTGTTCAAACACTGGGTTGATTCCAACCCAAAGCAAATCGCCGCAGCATGAAGCTGGGCAAAGAACAGATAGGCCCAAGTATGTATGTGGCCAAAAGACAACTTTGTACAATCTGACCTATCAAAAGCAGCAAGATGTCTAACCGGAGTCGGTACTGCCCACCATCCCTTACCACCTGGAGCCCCTTGCCTCTTCCCAATTTTAGTCTTTAAACCATTATACAAGGCCATCTCAAATGCATGACCGGCGCTTTCACGCCCTCTTTGACTCAAAATTGGAACCCCATTATTCCTAAGGGGAATGAGAGGAACCCCTTGCAAGTCAAGATCCATCTTTTCAGTCAAATACGTATTACTCCCCTGTGCTAATGCAGGGGGAGCAGAAGCTCCCAAAGCCAGGACTGGTGCATCAAAGGCACAAGAAAGTTCATCAAAATACCCACAGAGGGCCTGAAGAAAATTTCCAAAGTTAGGATAATGACAAATGACGTCAGGTTCAGTTAAATTCTTTAAATCGTTTGTCCCCACTATAACAAAAACGTGGGTAAAACAGAAGGAAGAGCTCAAATGAAGATCCGCATACACCCTGTTACACATTTCCTCTGGAGAAACTACTTGTCCTTCGCCAACCAAGGCGGACCATCCACTTAACGAGTACTGAAAATGAAATGAAAGGAAAATCATTCAAATCTTGTGTTTCAAAAGGGATTTGCAAAAAGATGTTTTTATTCCTCTACCTGATACAGTTCTATGCCCCTCCCAGCAAGAAGATGTTTGAAGTCAAAAACCGCCCTGGTTGTGGCCTTCTCAGGCCGAATGTTATTGCAAAACGTATTGCGCCCTTCAGACAGTCTCCAAGGAACGGTTAAGGAAGTACCAAGAAGCAAAACACAAAGGCCTTTCCCTGAGTTTTTCAATTTTGCCCCTTGATGACAATTTTGAGGCGAACCATATGTATAGTCTTGCACCACGCAACCCAGAACCTGAAGAAAATGCTTTGAGTCCTTGTCCAGCTTTTGTATGTCCAAACCAAAGTGCTTGAAAACATTGCGCTTGTAACTGATTGGATCCTCTGGCTCAAACAGGCTCCCTCTGAAGGGATGATAGCAATGCCCTGAGCAAACAAAATTTGAGAAAAGGTTACTATACAAAACTGTAACCCAAGATTATTCATTTAAAAATCTTACAAGGATTCAGCAAATCCAGAAGCTCCTCCTCCATGTCAAAACTGAAAGCCCCTTGCTTTACCTCTCTCTTTACTGAAGCTGATGTTACTCGAAGAGGCACTGAACCTTTGGTCTTTACTCTCTTTGACAAAGCATCTAATGCTTAGGAGTCTCCAACAACAGAGCTTTCTTCATTTGTGCGAGGACGTTTTGCCACAGCCAGATTTTTGGGGGTCTTTAACTGCTTTAACAAATTAATGATTGATTGTTTATTACGACGTTGAGTTGCCGCAAACTTTGCATCTTCCATCCTTGTACTGCCCTACTCTAATACTCTTGTATGGCCTCAACGCTCCCCAAAAAGACCTTAGTCTCTCCAACCGTCCATACTTGTAGATCTCCAGCTGTAAGTTCTAAGATGAAAGAGCAATTAAAGGAAGCAAATTAATACCTAGTTCTGCCAATACCAATTAAAGTTAATGTTCCTACTGAGTGTACTGGATGTAGATCCTATCCCCTCAGCCAGATAAACCTGGGGGATCCCACTTAGAGCGCTTTGAAAAACGCCCGAATGACGCTCCATCAGACGCCTCATGATGGAAGCCTCCACTTGGAGCATTTGGCTTTCCTCTTGTTCATGAAGCTCTGCCATGACCTCCCCACACTCTTCTAAATTCTCCCACTTCTCAGAAATCTCTTTCTCCTCTAAAACGTATTTATGCAAAATACGTTTTTGAGAAGAAATGTGCTCAGCGTACTGTTGAGATTCCTTTTGAAGACAATCAAGCTCAGCTTTAAGACCATCCCTCCCTATTTGAGCATTTTTCTCACTCTCCAGAAATGGAAGAAAGTCCCCAATGCGTTGAAGACTGGCCTCAGAAAGTGTAGAGAGTTTTTTGGCCAGGTCCACAGCAGACCTTGGCAAAGTTACCGTTAAAGGACTACCAGGAGAACTGAGTTCCTGGGGGACCTCTTGCAAAAGTTTGACGTCATCCTTAATTTCCCCCAACTCTGAAAAGTTTCAATTCAAAAGGAAAAAGAACAAGTGAAATTTTGTCCTCCCAATGTTCAACGGTTTTCTTTTTACAAAACTTACCCATAGCCTCTCCTTCCTCATCTGAGTCCTCAATTAATATAGGAAGATCTGCTTCCATCTCCTTTTCCTCTTTAGCCTCACTGTAGGACTTGTTTGATTCTGCCACATCAAAGGGGTCAGTAACTTTCTCCAAATTGGACATTTTTTTGTTTGTTTATTGATTGTTTAACGAATCTAAAAATCAACTGCAAAGTCTCCTCAAAGAAAGGGAACGATTGTCTCTGCCAAGAAAAAAGAAAAAATCTCATCTTAAATAATGTTCAAATTCAATGAAAACTCAAACTTCAAAGTCAAAAATAGAACTGACGAACTAAAAGGAACTATCAAGATCCCAGCCGGAAATCAAAGGTCAATCTTCAAACCTCTAATCTCTACTGGAGATTTTAACTGTCCCTCTTGACAAAATAAACAATACCCTTTCAACACTTACAAACAACCAGTCAAAGCTGCCAATTTTTGGTGTAAAATCTCACTAAAGAATTCACCAGCCGATCTACGGCATCAAGCATGATCGTCATGGAGGATATCCTTTTCCAAAAAACTAAGGATGAAATCTCTTGATGACCAAGCAGACATAACCCAACAAAAATGCCAAAAGAGGATCCAAAAATTCGTTGTATCGCCAATTTTGGCCCAAAACATGACCGTTGGGAGCTAGACTTGGTCTCAACCAAATCCAAGTCCAAAAAACCTCAACAGCCACACTTAAAACCAAAAAAGGAAAATACTAGAGGAACTACAAACGCCGCCAGAATTGGCTCAATACATGACCATTGGGGACACGACTTGGTCTTAACCAAATCCAAGTCTAATACCCCAACAGCCATACTCAAAACCAAATGAAAACACAAAAAAAGAGGGAATACAAACGCTCCTTATACTGCCAAAGTTGGCTCGATACATGATTGATGGGGGCAGGACGTGGTCTTAGTCAAACCCAAGTCCAATACCCCATCAACCATATACAAAACCAAATCAGAAAAAAGAGGCAGTCACCGCCAAGTTTGGCACACTCAAAATTCAAACAAAGGTACAAAAACTCTTGCCGAAGCTTCAATACTGAAGATAGCCACAGCGGCGACGGTTACCCAAAAGAACCAAAACTAGGGTACCCGTGTCTGCAGCCCTCCTCAATATCAAACACGGTTATCAAAAAACCCCAAAGTTGGGGGAAGCACTATTATTTCTGGTCCTTGACCTGATCACCATGGTGGCGGACTCGTTTGAAACCAAGATCAACCCCCCTAAACAACTAAGCCAAAACCCCGATGATGTTCTCGGTGAAAAATCACAAATGATGTGGAGTGGGACTCAGTCGAAAAAAAGCTCCGAGATCCCACCATACGACAAACATGCATTTGTCTGATAGAAAACCGCCAGAATTGACACACCAATGTGAGTGTGTTCAAAATCTTTTCAACACCTCGCGAGGTTTTACATGATCATTGCGGCAGTTATCCTTGACTGAAAAACACAAGGATACTCCCCTTGACAACCGAGCAGAACACCAAATGTGGTCAAAAGGGATCAACAACTCTGCAGATTCCAACAGTCCAGAAAAGAGCCTTCAGCAACTCAACTACTGATCGGAAGAGACTGATCATAATCTCCCGACCTGTAACTGAGTTTCCGAGCACCTTTACGCAAAATTCTTTCCGCCGGCTTTGGCAAACAAGAAGAGCAACACTAAAACAGGGTCTGAAATGAACGACAGTCAAAGACCAACTGAGAGAAGGGGCTTAAGATGGCGGACTACCGCTTGTTATCCAGGAAATACTTGGGTTTGTTTCCAAGACCTCTTTTAAATTGCACCTTACTTTGAGGAAGCAAACAAGGTTTTCTCCTTGCAGCTGTTCCCCTTGTTTTGAAATCTCTCTTCACACGTCACCCCAGGTTAAAACAGCGTGACGCGCTTTTGTCCTCTTTAACTAATAAAACTCCCCCTCACTCTTGACAGTGACGAATGTTATCCGCACACATATCCGTGCCGCCGCACCTCTGAAATACAAATTTCAGAGGCATATATGATATAACAGATTTGCATATATATAATATTGTTGTGTATCATGTTCGTGGATATTTTGCCTCATGAGGTCCACGCTTTCATGAATATTATGCAGAATACTTTGTTGTTGATCCGCATTCCTTGTTGTTGACCTGTATACCTGAAAAGTATATATATATTGCTGAGGAACAATATTTTCCTCAGATTTAATCCTGTGTTGACCGCGGTTACTTCTCAGAGAACCTTGTGTACGTTTAACAAGTTTCTCTTAAGACTTGTCTGTTTTTGTTATATTTGTCTTGAACAAATTTGGTTGTGAATAAAATATATCTTTTATATATATTTGATCTGGAATTGTTTATTTAATATCAGACAACAAACTTGGCGCAGTTGGTAGTTTTAACTTT